ATACTAATGTTTTACTAAATATATATGTTTGCAATGAATTTGCAATTTTGCAACTTTTATATACGTTTTTCGATTGGTTCCAAATTTTACAAATATAAACATAATAGTCGACCATTAACATCCATTAATGAAATTTCAAAATGTTTTATATGACACAAATTTCCTATATCGAACGTTCAAACGTACTCAATTTTCGTGAGTATATATTCAGTATATTTTCAGATTTAAATTTTAAATTTCACCAATATTGTAATAATCATAACTATAATGTCAATGAAATTTTTAAATGTTTTAAAGTGTTATTTAACACACACACACACATACAATTTTCCTATGATAGGTGTTCAATTATTTTCATGAGCACATATTGCATATTTCTAGATTAAGCTTGAAAATTTAGATTTCTTATCAATACGGTCATAATTCGATCATCATTCGTTATAGTCTCAATAAAATTTCAAAGTACTCTCTATAACACATCCTCCTTTTATAGTAGTCGTTCAAATATCTTTATGAGTGATTGTAAACCACGAAACCGGTAGAAACTTACTCGCGCATAATTTATGCTTCAATTAAGAGGATACCGATTGTCGACATAAACAAAGCGTGATTTATTAGAATGCAATAATTTCATGTAATCTGATAATAGTTCGAACGGTGTATGTTTACACTGCCAAATTTGACTTAATCACGTTTAATTAAAGTGCGTTCCCACCGTGCAACGTCGATAATTTGATGACTCGACGGAAAATGTTTTCACGTTCCAATTATTGGATCCCATCGAGTTCTGCTTACCGGCACGCGCTAGCATTCGATGTACAAGTTCACAGACGGATCTAACCCTGCGATCACATGATTGCAATTTCTCAAGGCACTTAAAATACGCGACTCCTTAGATTTCAGGACCACTGTCAATTATCAATCAATGTGTACTTTTAGTAAACTCGAAGAGACCGAATTTCTTTTTAATTATTTGACTGATTATACGTACATATTTCAAAAGTCTTGGAATATATTTATTCACTTTTAATATTCAGCAGATATCGTAGCGAAATTTGTTGCAATTTTACAATCTATGATAAATATGATATGACATGATGGTAAATTGAACGATGAAAATGAAAAGTATCCTCTTAAGATTTTTAAGCAGCGTATTTGTATCTGATATTTTGTATTTTAGTTAATAAAACTTGTAATTCAATTTTGTTTAAATTTGCTTGGACTTGATTGAAAATATATAAAACATTGAAGATTCTGTGTAGCTTTCATTCAATGTCCAATGGGTTGTAACATAAAAACGTCATCGTATCATTTTGGACAACTTATTCGTAACTGTTATAATAACTCGGGTCTTTGTTACTTTTCAAGCGAAATCGGGGAAAGAAATTGGAGAAATTTCTGCGTGACATTTTTATTTTATGTGGATGAAAGATAACGATCGAAACACTCGTAACGAAAACAATTGAAACAGTTTCTCGGTGGATGCAACAATAACTACCTATACGTAGAAATAAAAGTACCGGATCGGTTATATATTTTCCTTTTTCAAGAGAATGTTACACAGCAAGTCGGTCGATAGAATTTTTTTAGATAGAAAAAAATGTTTCCGTAATGATGTTAAGTTAAATTGTCAATATGATTACTGTGAAAATGCGAACCACTTGAAAAAATAATTGACTATGGAAAGCGAGTTGCCGTAAATGGAGTTTTTAATTTATTTATTTATTGTTGTGAAACAAACAAAATAATTAATACACACGAATTTTCCATCAAGAATTATTTTTTTCTTATGTCGTTTTTTTTTTTTTTTTTTTCAAAGACAGAATTAAAGTAGTTTGATACATTAAAATCATAAAATCTGTTTTGTAAGAACCAGTCTGGTAAATTTTGTCATTTATCTCTTATATCCTAGCTTTTCTACTTTGTATAACTGATATCTTAAATTTCAGATTCATTATGTTTGTTTTACAGAAATTCCAGGAAAAAGTTTTTCTCAAACAATTCAGCCCTAAAAGTTACACACACATACACATACACCTGAAACTAACTAATAGATAGTAGATTTATAGAAAATCTGAACTGCAAAATTCCCGAAATTTACATAATATTATATTATATTTATATACAATATAAAAAATATATACAATATATATTTACAATATAATAAAAATATACAATATATTTATATACAAATATAAAAAATCTAAAGTCATTAATATTATTTATAAAATAGTATTTTTTGATGTCTTCTTAGTTGTATCTATAAAAATGTAAAATCCGTAGTCCAATAATTACAGAAATTAATGATATCAATACCTCATTTATCATATTGTATTATCAATATATACATATATATATATAATTATATATATATAAAAATTAGATAATGATATATATAATATATAAATACACATACAACACACACATAATATATTATTATATATATATCATTATCTAATTTTTCTTCCTATGAACCTATTTACTTTATAACATTCACGTGTGTTCGTTCTTTTCAACAACTTTACATTTAAACCAACATGCATGTCGTAACCCATACGATGTGAACAAAAAAGGAAAAGGGTAAAGAGCGTGCAGCATGGAATACGTTTACGACTGTACACACGTTTACGAACTATAAAACAAGTTTTCATATTTCATGCAACATTCTTCTGTGTGCTATGTTTGACAAACGTCAAACTTGACGCGGCCACTTTTTACAAAGTTTTGAAAATTTGTCGGCTAATCGAATTAATTATCTGGAAAGTTTGTCATGTGTGTTTATACGGTAAAAATAGATGCAGAGAAATGGTGTCGACCATGAGATATAAAGGAATTAAAACAATGGTGGAAAGAAGAGATGAATCGTTGAAAGGGCACATACATGATTTCATTTCTCATCGAAGAAGAGATGTAAGAGATTACATCAATACGCCTTGATATTTAGACTATATTTAATATTTTTAATATTTTTAATATTTATTATATCCTTAAGATTATACTGTACACTAATTTTTTTTACTAAATGAAACGTATGTAGTGTATAATAATATAAATAGATATCTTATCAATGATATGAAATATATAAATATAATCTTGTAATTTCCATATACCATTGCTCATGAAAGTATTAGAGGAAATTTTTGAGTATATTATGCAAATATCTTGAGACGTGTGTATGAAACACTTTGAACATTTTGAAATATCACATATACTGTGATGAGATCTAATTATTATAAATAGTTATGTTCATCATGTTTGAAATTAATATACACACACAAATTACGAGGTTTAGATTAGGTACGAGGTATCCAATAAAACTATGATAGATATTACAAAAATATTTAAATAATAAATTAACCATTGTATTGATAAATCTCAATATTCAGTGAGATATTGTTACATGCAATTCATTTGTAATATTTCAATGTACAATAAATATTTCTGAACTTCTATATTTACTTTCAGATTAATTTTAAATTTCATCAATACAATCCATAACAATCATCTTCGTCGTGTTAATAAAAATAAAATTTCAAAATGTCTTTAGAGAAAAGAAAGTTGTATAAATTCTGGAAAAAATGGCAATGTTTCTACGCCAAGTAATCTACCTATTATACATTCTATAAATGTAATAGTGTATTACATTATATTCTATTGTATAATTATAATTGTATAATAATTATAATTATATTGTATAATATAATATATATTGTATAATTACTGTGGATACATCAAAGCATACAAAATATGTATAATTATAGAGATATTAATATATTTCATAGAGAGATCGTAAAAGTATTTGAACAGCCACAATCCATTATACTAATAAACTTTGGTCTTCAATGGGGGGCCATCTTTTTATGGGCGAACGTGGCAAAAAAATGAAACAAATCGGGAAAATGTGTCGATACGAAGGCTAAAAGAATTAAAAGAACGATAGGAGGAAGGGAGAGTGGGTGAGCATAGTGGTGAAAGGGCACATACAAGGTTTCATTTCCGAGAAAGGATGTAAAGATTGCTCGCGTGCAACACACTCTATAGATGGCGTTCTCGCAAACTCGTGGCTATATTGCTCTATAATAATAAGGTTAATGCCTTGCAAATTAAGTAGACGCGAAAGACCTTTTGCCTGGCTTTACGTCCGTTTAAACTGCTGAAGCCTGATCTTTATCGACGATGCACGATTATTGCGATACGGCATTAAGACCATGCTCGTTTAGCCTAACTGGATTCATAGATTACGATATATAGGCATCCTGTACGTGTTGCTCTGGTAAAAATTCCGGGAAATCCCACGTGTGCCGTTAACTTGCGAACAGCACAAAGTAAGTGTGATAGGATCAACTGTTCAATAGACTTGTTGGGTTATAAATGATTGTGGTTGGATCACTATCTAAAATTCTGGGTATTCGATTTTATTTCGAACGTTTCATTAGAAAGATAAAAATTACGCACAGCGTGTATGAAATTTCGTTATAGAGGATTTAAGATCGCTAGTTCCATTTCGTATTTTGCATTCTCTAAAGATTGTAAATGAAATAAAATTGTCGCCAGATCGATGACATCTGCAACGGTTTATGTTGTATTAATAAAATTTTGTGTATATTTAATTCTGTCTACGATTTCGAGTACTAAAATTAAAACAAATATAAAAATTCGTAGAAAGAATAAAATAAACAGTCATAAAATTAAATTCAATTGCCAACGTTAGTGTTAAAAAATTAATATAGGAAAACTAGTTTAAAAGATTATTTATTAAAGGAATTATTATTGCAAGATAATCTCGAGTTTTCATTTTGATATGTTGATTAAATAAGAACACGTGTTAATGAAGTGAAACTGATTTCATCATGCACGAGCGACAAATCATTCCCAATGAGATTGGGATAGGAACGATACAGAATCAGATTCTCACAGCTTGTCACACTTGATTAAGATATTGCGAATTACATCCGCATATCGCTGTGTAACGTTCACGTGACATAATCATTATAATAGCTGCTGCTGATACGACTGATAAGTATGCGATTAACTATCCTTTCGATCCCGGGATCGATAGAAGTTATATTTAGGAGCTGTTTCAACAGAATGAATAGACGATTGTCAATTTCCTCGCTAAACCTGAACGTACTATACTGAATATAGTCTGCTTAAAATTATTAATTAAGTTGTTTTGTCTCTCTACGCTAGAATTAATTTTATATCCAAGAGTTGGCCAAATTTCGTTTGAAATGAAGATATAAAATAATAATTTAAAGTAATCAGTTATTTTCATTCAAAGGAAATCGTAGAAATGAAAGATAAATTTAAAATAGAAGCAACATTAAATTGAAAGAACAAATTGTCGCAACGTAAGGTGAATCGTACGTGATAGAATTACAAACTATCGTCAAAACTATGAAATAAAAAACAAAATAAAAGATTATTATATTTTAAATTTAATAGCTAAATAATGTGTTCTGCAACTAATGCAATATTACTTTAAGACGACGTGCTAATTAAATAATCATTTTCCAAATATTTTATTCAAATAACACCTAAGCCTTACGCAACATTTGAAGTTTCCCTTGATGAAATATCACTCTTTAGAGAAACAAACAAATAAATGATACAAGTGTGAATAAATGTTCGACGAAATGTAATAAATCTGGTGGATATTTCTCAAACGAATGTTTACTTGGGGACACTCTTTTGTAACTTCTCTCTTAGTAATGGCAATAGATAAATATCAATAATGCAAATGAAAGCAATTCGTCACAATAAAATTGATTTACTCGAGTCACGCAAACTCGTGTAATATTATACGACATGAGAAAAGAATTATTACCAGAAAATTGTAAAAGAGGAATAATTATCGCAATTATTCATTTATTTATTAAATCATTGATCATTTTAAAGAAATTAAAATTGCCAAATTGCCAAAAATGTACATGAAAGAGTTGTCCGCCAAGCGTTAGATTTTTATTGAAAAATTAATTAAAAATAGGGAAGATTAAAGGATTACTTACCAACAACTTGGAGGTAACCAGTTTGACTCTTCATTGGGTCCGTATTGATCTGGCACATGTACCATCCCCTGTCAGATTCTTTTACTTCTCGTATATGAAGGAACCATGTGCGATGATCGCTGTGAGAAACAGCTATCCGATGGTTCTTCGTGATAACGTGACTGGCTATCGTTAATATCGTTTGGGTATCTACCCGCAGCCATGCTACCTGCAACAAATTGAAAGTTTTCGTTGTAACAAGGTAATCGTACTTCTAATTTTCAATTTAACATCGCCAACAGACTATGCGATATAAGCGCTTTTTACGCTTAACCTAGTTGAAAATATTATTAAAACGGGAAGATGAATCGGGGAACAATTTCCGAAATAAAGTAGAATTTTATTCTATACTTGGTTATACTCTGTGGTTGGACACAGAGCCTAGCAAAATTATAAATCTGGCAGAAAGACGTTGGAAATTATAATGAACTAGTGTAATAGTGGAGCTTTCGTTAAAAGAACAATTTAAATGGGAAAACCAAACATCACCATACCGAGATACGCATCGCAATTGAATTATTAAATTGCAAGTTGTAATTTTAGATTCGCCGTTGCCGGTGAATCCAAGAAACTGGTAAATATTTGACGCATCTGAACAAACCGCGATGACGCAACAGATATAACGCGCATAATTCTACCGAAATTAGAGTTCGGTAGATTGAAAGTTATTAACATAACGTAAATATGGAAGAATAAATATGATAGTAAATAGAAATAAAATAATTAAAAACACATAACTGAGTCTAACAAATTGTAGACTCAGTGACTTTAATCATTTGTTTAAAACAACATTACGACATTGTCGAAAGTAAAAAAGTAAATTTTGTTATCTATCGATAAAGCATTAAAGGAGAAAATAACTCTTTCAAATAACCAAGTGCAAAAAATAGAAACGTATCTACGTGCTTTAATTTTATCGTTTTTACGTTGCGAGTAAAATATTATCCGAACGATATGTATCATCGATATTCATAGAGATACGATCAATTATTGTTCAATCATACACTTTGTATGCGAAAATTGGCACGCAGTGACAGAGACGTACGTAGTTCCATTTAAAAATCCTTTAATATTATAAAAGTAATAATTTCTACATAATTATGAAAACCGATTCAAGCTTCATTTATGAATTATAAAACTTACTATTAAGTTGAAAATTATGCAAGGTGATTTACGCATGCCTGAAGTAACTTTTAAATTATGCCTCTAATGAAAAATTGTTCAACACGAAAGTAGTATGGTTTTAACAGAGGCAAAATACAATATATTAATTTTTTATAAGTTTCGAAAGGTCATCTTTATTTCTTTTTCATCATAAATGGAATGACATTGAATTCCAAATAAAAAATTATTAAACCATGTTAGTCCTAAACTTAATAGTTAAGGAGATAATTTATTTTGAGGATGAAAACTACGTAGAGGACCATTTGCTACACATTAATATCTCATCGACGTTGATGGTGCCTAATAATACAAATTGTGTAAATTGAGATTACCATGATTACTAAATGTTGTTTCGTCTGTAACGAAACAATACATTTTCTAGAGAAAAAACTTTCATTAACACTTACTTGCTGCAAAAACCATTCAGCAAATTGTACTCGATTTTGAAAATCGAATCTGTGAAGCTTCTGACAAATATATGGGTAATATAAGTACATTTTATGGGCCTGAAGAATTTGAAGCCCACTTGATTGACTAATTCCAGATTGTCGAGAAATCTGTCGTGTACTAACATGTGGATCGTATCCTACAACTTCTAGTACTAAAGTTGCCAATTTCTCGCAATACAATAATACCTACTTAAACGTTCGTTTAATCCCCACCAATTCTTGGAATCGAGATTATCTCACTCTACTTTACTATCGAAGGCTCACTTGTAAAGTAATAACACTGACATTTATAAACATTGTCGAATCCTCTGACAATGCTACGCAATTTTCATCCTCGAGGCGAATTATTGTAAAATATTTTCTTAACCATTAGATTTAAAATCAATGTGGTTTAATGCATTTTTACTTAGAATTTAATATTCTTTCTATTTATGATTTAAAAAATACATAGTTCAATTAAAATAAATAAATAAAAACGAATTTGCAAATTTCGAAACCCTTCAACACACACAAAAAATTAATATTTTGTCATCCTTGAAATCATACAACTTTTGTATTAAACAATTTTTCATTAGACGCATAATTTAAGAGTTATTTCAGGTGTGCAAGTTACGTCACAGAATCACTGTATGTTTCACAGAAAAATATGGATATTTAATTATTTTAGTCGTATGTTTAAAAATAACAAATCTTTACTTGTTGGATGCCATGTATCGCAGAATTATTAGGTATATGTGTGTAAAATACTTGTAATTGAGTATATGAGTTGTTTAGATCTATTAGTTTATTATACTATATTATTCTTTTTATGCTGTTTATAAAAGATATTGTCAGATACGTCAATTATTAATATAACTTTCGATTCAGTTATCGACCTTTTGTGTGCTTAAAATTCAAAGACTGAATGAGGATATAACAAATTATGAACGTACTCATCTTTGAACATATACTTTTAATACGTTTATTCAATATTGTATATGTAGTATGTTGTCCTGTATGAATCTCTAATTACTAAATCAATTATTTTTAGGTATCGACCATAAGATTATCTACATAACAGTGTGACAAACACTCAAAGAGTTAATTTATTTTTTAAAAATGTTCTTCTGTGACAATCTTATACTTATCACTGAGAACTAAAATATATCAATTTGACTCGATATCCTTTGCTCTTCTGATCAGCTAAACAATTGATCAATTACAACCCAACGAACACACAAATACACATAGGACCTCCTATCCGTTCTACAACGATCCGACAGAAATTCCGCCTTATTTTTCGTCACCTCTGCTATATCGATTTCACGAGCGACAATTTAAGAAAAACGCGATTCTCTCCGAATGACCCTGGAAACGTTCTCGGTTGAAGGAGCTTCCGGTACACTCGCGGTCTAACCACGTGGAAAAAAGTGGTAGGAGGAAAGGAAGGTAAACATTCTCCTTGTTGGCTGCACTTTGGCACCGGTCGGTAAAGAAACGGCGAAAAAGAAGAGAAGAGAAGAGAAGGAGGGGGAGGGGGAGGGGGTGGGAATGGAAACGCGAAAAGGTTGTGCGCGCGCGTGCAACCCGCGCCACAAAAGCGTGGCCGTTGGCTTGCAGTAAATCAACTTGTTAAGAAAATGTGATACTTGTTTTGGGGGAGGAAGAGGAAGAGGAAGAGGAGGAGGAGGAGGGAAAAAAAGGCACAAGATACAGAAAGACTATTCAGAGTTGAAAAGGAGAGGGAGGATCAGTACTGCATTGAAGTTGTGTTCCCAATGCAAAACGTTGAATCGTGCTCCCCCTCCCCCCACACACACACACACACACACACCTGGTATTTCCGATTCACCCCTTTGTGCCGCGATTACCCCACATGTGATCACGTATTTCCCACGCTTATGTGCACACGAGCCTCACTATTCACGCCGGTAATATTTTCGTTCACGGCGCGTGCATCCGCCTTCAAAGGCGAAGGATAATGGAATTGCTGTTTCGCCGGGCAAACATTTATCCGCTGGCGTGTCTTTTGGTCTTTTGGTAATTTTTAGAGAGACGTGTCTCTAGTCGCTGACTGCGTCGCCTATAACAGATGAACCGAAGTGTTCGGCAACTTTTTCTGCTTTCTCTTTCGGATGCATTGATTTCTTGCACTGGGGATAATGTTTCATTTTGTAATGTTCAGATTCAGAATACTATATATTATAGAATTGTTGTTAATCTGGCAGTAAGGAATAACATTTATCGATCAAAGTATACGAATATCTGTAACAATATATATTTCATTAATGTTAAAGTGACTTATTAAAGTGATGGCAATACGTATAGATGATACAAAAAATACTAATTTTACTCCAACAAATAATAGTTGAATATTATATATTATAATATAATTATCAAACCATTGGATTAATCTAATTATTATCCTGTGTGCTGTCGAATTAACAGAGTGAGATTCACTATTGAACAAAGTATGCTTGATATTTTTCATGATACAAAATTAAACATTGTTGCAAGAAGAGAAAGCATCTATAAGAATGTAAGTATTTGAAAAATGGTTTCGATTTTACACATGGGAGATTCTACTATAATATAACCGAATTCTTGCTTTACAGAGAAAAGGAATTAATTGGTATATGAAAAGTTGTATAAAAGATGTAAAGAAATATAACAAATAAAATGTAATAAACAAATAATTGAAAATTTCACGTGCATTGGTATATAATAAATTCATTCACTACTCTAAACCACTTAATTTTACCTCAACTTTTACCATTTTGTAGCTATAGTCTGCCGTAGTTGCGAAAAATACACTGTATATTTGTCCTGGCTGAATTGAAAGACAGAACTATTTATTATAAATTTCTACTTAAGAACGGAATGCTGTATTCATTATCTGGGCAATTATTGCTCTTAGTCGGGCATTAACTGCAGCAATTGAATAGGACGCCAGTAAATAGTCAATAAAGAATGGTATCGTTCTTCAATAAAACAGTGTTAGGCCTGGCGTATCGACAAAGAGTCTGCCAGGAACTATTGGTCTTTAACTGGGACGTTCTGTCCCATCTGTTTCATTCACTGGACACGGTAAATCGTGCAATTATCATTTTATTCTGGTAGTTAACAAGATCTTTCAACACGTTCATTGTTAATCGAGTGTTCATTATTCATGCTATACGTTAAACTGCTAAATAATTCTCGTGCAAAATCTGTTTCTATATTACGGATGCGTTTCGCGTGGAATTATCATGACGATTCCTTTCAAAATTTCGCGATTCAATTTGCATACCACGTCCGATTTCCGGTATCGATTTTTAATTTATATCCTGCGTTTCGAGACATATGCAACGAACGTGTTAATAACAAGGAATTGAATACGCCGACAGATTTGAGATGGCTGAAATTTGTGGCGAAAATTATAATTTTCTAATTTATTTTATTTACTGGAATTTGGAGTGCATAAATCTGTTGACTTTTTAAAATTTTAAATTATAATTTAACGATCTTGTTTGATTTCAATGGTAATTTTAAATACATTGCTTAATACATTGAAGTTTTAATTTTAATTATATTGTTTCAATTACAAAAATTATAATTCTTTAATCTATTCCATATTTATTAAATTTAGTGCTAGAACATGTCCCAAAGAATCTTTGTAGTGTTTTACGTCATTTCTATTTTTCATTAATAATATTGAATAACGTTGATATTTCATTAAAAAGTGTTTATCTCCTTTCTATTGATTTTTATAATCTGTATGTTTTTTCTTACTAATTGTTTCAAAATCAATCGTTCTATAACTAGTTATTAATATTAATATATCATTGGGTTAAAATTAATTATTATTAATATAATATCATAGATATATATTAATTTGTCCCGAGTGCTCTTAACTGATGTAATACAGTTGTTACATCAGTATTAATGATCCTCTAATTGCTTCGAATAGTATCATCACTTGTCACAAAGCTAAACTATTATGATTTCAACAATATGACACAGACGTGCAAGATTGGAATATAGTTTACAAATACCTAATTTACTTATGTAATAATTTTTGCAATCCTAATGACTATATAACAAATATATTCTAATTACAAGAATTTTTATAATTTTAATAACAAACGTGTTCCAGAATTAAATTTTTATCTTCGACTCTCATTCATTCATAGAATTTGACATTTTTCGTTGAATCTGACATTATGCGTATAATACAAGTAGCTTGTAATAAAGATTATATCGCAACGCCAGTATTATCTTCATTATTCGTGCAATTGATACATGACGATGTGCATGTGGAAGTTTCAAATAGATATTGATTCCGTTGGTGTATTATTACGCAACTCGATGCGTAATAGTACTTCACAAACTGATGTATTTAGGTAACTATCAGTGATTTGGTATTAGATATTTCCTTCGTTAATGATAAATACGATGTTCGAGGGTATAGTTGAGAAACATACAACACAACTGTTTAATATGTGCAATATGTAGTAATTGCGAATGAATGTACACTTTCATTTACGATGAGCAGACTTTTCACAAGTCTTGTCTTACAATTTCCTTTAAAGTCCTTTAAAAAACGTAAAACATTCGATTATCGTAGCTTTCGTGTTATTTTATTTAGTTCCAGTGTAATAGATTCTTTCAGTAAAAATTACATTATATTTTTCAGTAATTCTTTCGAGCACAAGTGTAATATTAAAAGCTCGTAAAAATACAAATTCATTGAAACAAATCTCCAATCTAGTTGCGATAAAGAGTTCATTTTATAATTACAATTATGTCTATCATGTCTAACTGAATATTCCGTAATTTATACACAATAGTGACAATACACTGCCGCTTAAAAATCTGAAGACGAATGGTATATTCAATTTAGAATTTGGAAACATTGAATAATACTAATAATGTTGTGAATGTTAATACGATGAAATACAGTACAAAAGATACCAAATTGTTAAAAACAAAAAAAAAAAAGTGTCCTAAAATGTTCCATGCATGTTCAAGAGTTCCATTATATAAATCAGCGGACCCTTTCAAAATCGTCTCTGACCATCGTGATGAAACGAGCAAGACGACGCATACTTCTCGCCTCTTAATTTCAATGGCGGTGCGCATTATTCGCGAGGTGAAAATCGCGCCGGAAAGAGGCTGGAAGTGGCGAGCATTAAAAATAACAATGACACATAGTCCTGGACGGCGGAGGACAGTTGTCTCCGTAAATTACAGAAATTCGCAAGAGAAGCCGTAAATACTTGGTTATCATACTTGGCGGAAGCACGGAGGGGTATTATACCTACATTCGCGTACATCGTGGCCAGAGATGGCGCCAAGCGTGGATATGGCTTCACCGTTTCCATTCATCGGACTGGATATCAAATGCAATAGTTCATGGCGCGTTTCCGACTAGGTGGTCGACCAGTCCTCGACCTCTACCTCCTAATCCAACCACCCACCGTTTCACACCGGTCTCTGGCAGATTTACAGGCAAGGGGGGGTTTTGATATCTGCATCCGAGAGTCCTGGACTAGTTCCACCTGTCCCGCAGCTCTGTATACTTTCTGTCAACTTGCGCTTTCGCCAGCGCATCTTCCAAGATAAATCGGCCGAATAAGCTTCCCTGCCAATCGGCTGAATCTTTTGCGTTTTGCGTTTTCGCTCCTCGACTCTGGACGAACATGGCATCTCGCGTTCGACTTTCTCTGACACGTCTCGTTACATAACGCAGTGCCTTCGTACCAGACGTAATCGAGGCGCGATTTTTTGAATACTGGAATTCCATGCGGATTTTATGCGTTTGTGGGAGATTTGGAAAAACACACGCACAACTATATTTGTATACTATTTCTTATTATACTTATCGTGTAAACTAATTTTCTTCTTGAAATAACAAGGTTCTATAATTTTTTTATTACCTTGATCTAGTGATTATTCTTGTTACAATTTTTAAATTT